GTAGCCTGATCCACATAGATATGACCCCATGTGCGAAGAAGTTGGCCCGAACCTCAAACCTAGAACGGTTCGGTTGGAGCTTAAAACTATGACTTCTCGTATTTTTAGCACGCAAAGCCGTAAACTAGTCATCTGCAAGCTGTCCTGATAACTCTTTGACTATTTCAAAGGTTTCTATCAGGTCTTCTCGCAGTCGTCTACGTTTCAGCTGAAAGAGATTTAGGTCTCTCAAGCGCTGTCTATAGCTTTTTCCCTTTTGCCCAGCTACCATTCGGGTATCAAGTCATTGCACCTTCTCCAGGCATGCTATATCCTTTCTATATTATGGTATCCATGCCTAAAGGCAGTATTCTAAGTGTGTGTGGGGTGAAACTATTGTCTTGTAGATAGTTATAAAGACCTTTGCATTTCTACATGTCAGGGCAGCACACAAACTGAGGAGCGTACCACGAGCCTTATTAGCTACCTTCAGACATTGAGTTTCAGGCTTGAAACTCTTGGTGAGAATGACTCCTAAGTCCTTAGCTGCATCCGTGTGCTGCAGTGCCATCTGCCCGTCCCGAACGGTATCGGTTCTTCCGGTTGAGAGCTGGCACTTTTGGAGATTTGGTGGTAAGTCCCACTGAATCGATTATTATCTAACCGCATCTAGGTCGCACTGTAGATTTATTCCGGGTAGATCCACATCATCCGCGAACATCAAACAGGGGTTTTGGAGATCCCTTGTCGCCGTTGATGTAAATAAAAAATAGTAGTGGTCCTAGACCTGAACTTTGAGGTATCCTGCTTGTTACGCTTGCAGGTTCGCTCAGATAGTCGCCAACCTTCACACAGAACGCGCGATGACCCATGAACTTCCCTCACTCAATTTCTCACCGCCCCTGCAATTCTGCATCTTGTAGCTTACGATTTAGCAACTTATGGCTGACTGAATCGAAGACTTTGAAAAAGTCAAAGTAGTATCCTTTGACCTGCTGAACTTCACGCGGCCTTTTAGTAACCTTATCCGAGAGGGTGAGGAGGTTAGCCAGGCATGACTTTTTCTCGGTAAACCCATGCTGCGCTGGTGCCAAGAGGTTTTGGGTGGTTATGTGCTGATATCTTTGCCCCCTGATGATCCGTTCCAAGCCTTTGCAGTATCACNCATCCTTTATGATTATGTTATAGATGGTAATAAATGGTTACCTTAGGGAAAACCTCTATCCAACACTCATCAAGTGCCTTTTTAAACGCATCTACAGCATTGCAGCACCACCAGCGAAAACTGGTTCCCCAACGGAATTACTCTGTTCGTGAAAAAACTTTGCCCTCAGATGCAGCTTAGAGTCGCTTGGCTGCAAACGTAAGTTATGTCCCCATGTACTTCTATGCAGAACCCGCGAGAACAGGTCGTCAAGCTCAGGCCTGATCTACTCTTGACAATCTTAAATGCCTTGATTAGGTTTCCTATCACCCGCCTCCTTTTGAAGGAAACCAAATATAAATCTTTGAGCCGCTGGTCATATTTTTTCTCCGTTGCCCAGCTATCATCCTTGTGGCTGGAAGTTGAACCCTGTGTAAGGTATCGACGTCCTTTCGGAAGAACGAAGCCCAAGCCTGCACACAATATTCCAGATACGAGAGGACGATGCTTTTGTATAGGGGGACAACGATCTCGGGTTTTCTGCACGTCGTGGTTGCGCATAGACGAAACAGTTGTCCCCTGGCTTTGTTTGTGGCCTTCACACATTGAGTGCTGGGTTTGAAATCCCGCGTTACTACTATGTCCAGATCCTTTGCCTCGTGCACCCTTTGTATTGACAGGCTCCTTGCCGTCTCTTCGTCAGTTCTGATCGTCATTATTCGACATTTCCAGACGTTTAGTGGTAGGTCCCATTGTTCGGCCCATCATTTTACTACTTCTATGTCCCTTGCTAGATTCCATCTAGCTACCTTGACGTCATCTGCAAACAGAAAACAGGGATTTTGGAAATTCTGTGCTAGGTCGTTAATGTATAGCAGGAACAGCAGTGGTCCAAGTACGGATCCTTGGGATACATCGCTTTTGACCACCTCATCCTCGGATGTGTGAGCTCCTACTTTGACACTAAACGTGCGCTGCGCAAGAAAGCCCAGTATCCAGCTCCTGACTTGCCCACCTATTACCGATAATTGCATTTTATGATCTAACAGATGGTGGCTGACCTACTCAAATGCTTTCTGGATGTCCAGATAGAATACCGGTAGGCCCCCATCTGCTTTACGTATCACCTCGTCTAGAAACACCAGGTTTATCAGACAAGATCTCGTTTCATCAAATCCGTGCTGAGCTGGTATCAATAGCCCCCTATTGACCATGTAGTGGCATATTTGGCTTTTAACTAGGCGCTTTTGCAGGGATCCAGACTTGTGTATCACCACCACTGTGGCTTTGCGCCAGTAGTTCGGGACAGTTCCCAATCTAAGAGACTCTGTGAGTAACTCAAAGATCGGTCTCACTATGACGTCAGTCAGCGGTTGTACAATCGCTGGGTGTAGTCCGTCGGGCCCCGCCGCCTTGAACCTATTGAGCCCGGTCAACTCCAGCTGCAAATCCTGAATGTCCACAGTGACTGGGGCATGGTGTGGTTACCTTCGAGTGATGAAAAGTTATCTGTCACTCTGAGGATCCTGTACGTGCTTTTGCTGAACTGTAAAAAGATACGTGCTCTATCGCCTTCACTCACTGCTAATTCTCTTGTCAAAGATTCTTAAGTACCAACCGTCTCCCTAGTTTTTCGCTTAGATTGGACATATGCGTAGGAACACTTAGTATTTTGCTTGACTTTTTGCGCCAATTGGTATTTAGCCTCCCTTCTAACTTTCTGTGCATAGTTGTGAGCTTGTTTGTAACCATTCCACGACTGATGGGTGCCATACTGTTTATAGACTGCCCACCGTCTTCTACGAATGATTATAGCCTTATATATATTCGCCCTCCACCAAGGAGGACGTTTCTTCTGTTTTAACGGAACCGAAGGCACAAACCTGTCCGTGAGTAGGAGGAATCCTACCTTGGTATGGCTCCATCTGGTTTCCAGAGATGCATTGGTTGGGTTGGGAACCCAGTTTATATCCTGTGCCGCTCTGATCAGTTTGTCCTGCTTGATTTTTTCATATCGCCTCTCTAATTTGACCGCTCGTTTGGCGTGTTTACTTTCTAGCGTTAGTCGCAGGACCTTATGATCACTTTTACCCAGGGGCTTCTCCTGAGTTACTGTTCTTATGTCTATGGGAGCTCCCGTGATCAGCATGGATGGCCTGTAATTTACTCTAAACCGGGTGGCTTGTCGCGTGTGTTATGACAACGTGTGCTGATGTAGCCACTCTAGAAGCAGTTTACCTTCGGTACCCACCGGTGCTCTGTCTCTATTCCAGTTGATCTTTGGCATGTTGAAGTCGCCGAGCTAACAACATCCTTCTGGACGTGGCAAGGAATAATTGCAGCTGAGCAATCAATTCTTGGTCTTTTTTTGCATTAGCCTCAAAAGCCTGGTAGACGCGCATGACGGGTATTGCGTTTCTGTCTATTTTAACTTCACAACTGATGGCTTGTATTTTGGGAGTCTCTAGGACTGCTGCTGCCTCCCACTGCATGTGATCTGACTTTATTATTATCATAACCCCACCCCCTTACCTGCCATCCATCCTATCTTGTCTATGAATTGCATGGTCATCCATTTTCGGGGTACTGCGGCTATTCCGCATCCATGATTCATTTATGGTCACGATGTCTATACCTGGGGTGCGCCATTGCACCTCTCCCCACTTATCCCGTACGTTGCAAGCATTAGCGTACCATAGTGTGACTGTGTGTGCTTTAACAAGCCTGCTGGATTAAGAACTCATTTCCGGAGGATCCTAAAGCGAAATGTCCGAGGCCTTAACCTTTTTTGGGAGGGGTTTACGGCTGTGATCGTGACTTCTTCTACTACCCAAGCCATTCCACTTTTATCCCTGGATGTGACTTTTATCGTCACTCCAAAAGCTCCCTCTATCCCTGTAGCTATATCCTCGTTCGCCTTTGGGGTACTAATTCCCCATTGCAATCGGAGAGCTGGGGATTTCTCTACTATTGTCCATCATGTAACTGGTTCCTCACAGCTCATCGTGGCTTCCTTCTTCGCCTTGCCATGTGCACTTAAGCTCCTTAGTGGCGGTGCTCTATCCTGTGTTCGTGGCAAGTTAGAGCTTACTTTGCGGACCGCTGCACTGCCCCCTTTGGATCTCTTTTGTAGGCCTTTTCCTACATATGGTTATGCAAATATAGTCTTTGGTACTTTCGGTGTGGATTTGCTCAAAGGCGCACCAGTCCTTGGCACTCGAAGTACTACGTCTTTGGTGTGACGGGCACTTACATTATTTCCTCTGCTAACTGGGTGCATCACCCTGATAGGTCTATCGGGGTGACTTTTATACGCCTGAGTATAATCCTTGACCCTTGAAGCTCGTGATAGTAGTATATCTTTTATGTTTGTGTTTGGAAACACCGCTAAGAGAGGCCTTGGACCAAGTGAGCTCTCCCCCCTTTCACAGGCCAATTGTATGACACTTGCTCTATGGGGTGTTCGGGGGCAACCCATCTAACCTAAAATGTTTTGCACATGAAGAACTTCTCGCTTCAGCTTCGCCATGTTTATAACTAGCTCCACGCAATTATGGAGGAGAAAGTTCATATTCCTTCCTAACGAAACTTCGCTGCTCTTTTTAGCAACTTAAGTTCTGTTTCCAACTGCTCAATCCGTTGTACCGTTGTTTCCCGGTAGGTAGCCTGAGCCGCAGGTTTAACCACAGTCCTTTTAGCCTTTAAAGGCCTCATGGTCTGTGGCTCAATCTCCCTGTTTGGGTTTCCTACTTTTTTTATTTGTGCACTTTTACTTGGGACTAACGCAGAAGTATCCCCTTCAGGTTTCCCTTTGTTTTTCTTATTTACCGGCCAAATATGACGTCACCCTAAACTCTTGTCTGCGCTACCGCGAGACATGCTAAGAAACTCCAGGAATATTTATATGAATATCCCCGTGCACAAACCATACGACGTGCTCAAAGAAGCACTACTCCGTCGTTTGGCTATTTCTGAGGAGAAGCGCATACAGCTTCTACCGTCCAGGATACAATTGGGAAGTTCCAAGCCATCCCAGTTGCCGCTTAATAGGCAACGTGCTACGCCGGATCTGGCTCCAGTGGCTCCCGTATTACGTGCACAGAATATACTTAATGTCTTCGCCCATGCCCACAGTCTCGACGAACTAGCCGAAGCTGTAGACCGAGCCATGGAGTAAGCTCAACTTTTTCAGCCAACAATGCTAACGTTGGGAGCACTAAATCAACCATGGTTTACTAGACGCTTTCGAGTTCAGCTCTCGTTAAGCTGTCCAACAAGCCCATGACATAAATGTAGCTTTTATCTAAGCAGTTGAACAAACTTCGCTTAGCTATGACCACTATTCAGAGCACAATCAACAATCTACAGACAACCGCACGACCGGTAATCGATCCCGTTCAAATAATGGTTGTCGACGTACGCCCTCTAGGGGCGATCTGTGCTATTGCCACAGACGCTTCGGAAAGCAGTCTAGGAAGTGCAAAACACCATGTTCATTGGGCCACCGGGACTACCTCCATCGACTCTCCCACCCCTTGTCGCCTACTTTTTATCTACGACAACTCGTGCAAGTCAGAATATTGCCGTTCACCAACCAGGATACTGATAACCCAGGTAAACTGACTTTGAAGGCAGCCAGCAGTACCCCTATTAAAACCTTTGGACAGCGGCTACCGAACTTAGACCTAGGTTTATTAACGTCTTAACTTGAGTTTTCGTGGTCTCTAGGGTTTCTTACGCCATACTTGGCCTAGACTTTTACCAACACCACGGACTAATCGCAAGCGACAAATAAGAGACCCAGTCACTTTTGAAATAGACATCGGTTCCCTGGTATATTCCGAAGCGCAGAATATACTTTTCCCTTGAAGACAGCGATTCGCACCATTCATCTTTATACTGCGAGTTTATTAACCTTGTCCGCCCCAGCACCGGACTGCCACCTATCAGGACACAGATGGCGCAGCATATAATCACCTAAGGTTCATCGGTCGGCGCACGTTCCCGTCGACCAGCTCTCGGGAATTTGCGCATTGCACGCGCAGAGTAATGGCTCTTGCTAAACATGGGAATCAGACGCCCCTCTGAAAGTCCATGAGCGTCCCCTATACACACGGTTCATAAAACTTCATCCAATGACTTACGTCCATGTAGATACTGTCGCGCACTCAATCGCGTGACAACCCCAGAGAGGTACACGATCCCCCACATCACGGATCTCACGTCGAACCTAACCGGTAGAACTCTTTTCAGCCTCAACGATCTGGTTTACGCGTACAACCAGATACCAGTTGCAGAGGCCGACATCCTCAGCACACCATTTGGTCTTTTCGAATTTTTCCGAATACTATTCGGTGTAAGTAACACCACACAGTCTTTCCAACGTTTCATTGATAACTGGGACGATATCTTAGTGGTTAGTTCATCGCGTGAAAACATCTGACACAACTTTGAGGACTTTTCGATCGTTTGGCACAGCACGGTGCCACGTTCAGTGCACAAAAATGTCTTCGGTGCCTCCAAGATTGATTTCCTCGGTGATCGCATCACAGCCACAGGTATGGAGTCACTCTGTGACAAAACTCATGCAGTAATAGATAAACGGTGAAACAGCGCTCCCGGCTGGGAACTCATGGCGATCTTTCTCGGTATCAGTCACTTCCGCCATCTCCTCGAAGGACGAGACTTCACGGTTTTCACCGGCCTGTGTCCTATCACTCACATCATTAAGTCTAACACCGATAAACACTCTGCGAGAGTCACGGCACCTTAATTACATCACATAATATACGTGCAATGTGTGAAATATCTCTGTTGTCAATAATCCTGTAGTGAATTCCTTCTCACGCATCCACTACCTTGGTAACCCTTGCCTAGAAGCCATAGACTTACAGGACATCTACAGCGCAAAGCGGTGACACTGATATCGAGCGACTGCGCAAGCAATCCATGCTCCGCGTCAAACATTTACCACTTCCGTCCTCAGACAACAAGTTATATTGCGACGTCTCCATAGGCCACTCTTGGCCAGTAGTTTCACCAATCTTACGCAAAAAGGTTTTTNTTTTTGAGACACTGCCTAATTTGTCGCATTCAGACATCCGTGCCTCAGTGAAACTCATGCCTGAGCGTTTCATCTGGCATAAAATTAAAAAGGACATCCAACAATGGGCACTCCAGTGCTTGATCTACCAACGTGACACATTTTTCGTCAAACAAAAGGCACATTAGTTTTGTTCACCGTCGTCGACGAGAGTTTTTACCACATCCACGTAGACTTATTGGGACCCATGCCACCATCAAAAGGGTGTACCGATATAATAACAATAATAATAATGGTATATTTCTCGGATTACAACGAGAGACATGCATGTAATGCACGATCATGGCAGGCAATGTACAATATCAATGGCCTCATATAACACACAACAAGATCTGGGATGAAGATCATGACGTTTGTGAAAGCGAAGTATAATATGGAATTGTTGGGTGGAATAAGTTGTTGTTTTAACGCTCCATTTAACATTGTAGCGCAACCCAATTTCAACTTCAA